CTACGTGTAGACTTGGCAGCCTATGTATTAGACTTGCAGAGGCTACGTGTGGACGTTGATGAAATATTGGCGCGTCTTGAGTACGAATAGTCGCCCCTTGAATTGCGAAATGGGGTGTGCTGAAGTGGAGAGACGCATTGTGTGGGGATCTTATTTTTTTTCTGTTGTAGAGATGTCCGAAATGTATCACCGACACATTTGCGGCTAAACCCCTACAATAAAAAAAATTTAAACAAAAAAAGACATGTGGAGAATCGGAGACTACAGCGTTCGGCTCGGTCGCCAGGCCGGCACCAACAACCAGGGCGTGGAGGCGACGGCCCTCGGCAACAGGGCCGGCGAGACGAGCCAGCATGAGCACGCCGTAGCCATCGGCCACAGTGCAGGCAACACGAACCAGGGCCTGGACGCCGTGGCCATGGGGTACAGCACAGCATACAATAACCAGAGCGAGGGCGCGGTGGCCATTGGACGGAATTCTGCATATGTCAGTCAGGGGGCTGAGTGTGTGGCCATCGGCTCGGGTGCTGCCCACACGAGCCAGGGGTCCGACGGGATCGCCATCGGGTCGAGTGCGGGGCGGGACGCCCAGGGCAGCTTTGCGATTGCCCTCGGCCGCGAGGCCGGCCAGACCAGGCAAGCGGCCAACGGCATCGCGCTCGGGCGACGGGCCGGCTACACAATGCAGGGCCAAGCGGGCGTGGCGGTGGGCAGCTCGGCGGGCAACGCCAGCCAGGGCGAGTATGCGATAGCCATTGGGGACAACGCCGCCAGCTCTATGCAGGGCGTCTACAGTGTAGCCATTGGCAATGTTGCTGGGCGCACAGGCCAGGGCAAGAGCGCCGTAGCGGTGGGGCGGAGCGTCGCTGAGTCCGCACAGGGCGACCTCGCGACGGCCGTGGGGGCGTACGCCGGGCAGGAAATCCAGGGCGGCGCTGCAGTAGCAGTTGGCAGCTCGGCTGGCAAGACACAGCAGGGGGCAAATGCTGTGGCGGTGGGCTACGGCGCTGGCCAGTCGCAGCAGGGGGCCAATGCGGTCGCAATTGGAAGCCAGGCGGGCGCGTCGTACCAGGCGGAGGGCAGCATTGTGCTCAACGCCAGCGGGAAGGCACTGGACGCCCCTGAGAGCGGCCTGTACATTGAGCCGGTTCGGGAAAACGTGTCCGACTTTACTCTGTATTATGATACGGACACAAAGGAGATCACCTATGGCGAGACCTTGACCCTGCCCGACGGGGGCGTAGATGTCGCATCGGGGGCCTGTGTGTCTGACTACCTGCGATGGAACGGCACTGCGTGGGTGTCGGGGGGCTCGAATGTGGCGCTGGCCTGTGGCGCGGGGGGCACGAACCAGGGCTCTGGGGCTGTGGCCGTGGGAAAAGGCGCAGGCCGGGAGACCCAGGGCGGCTCTGCTATTGCCGTGGGCGACTCGGCGGGCGAGTCGCAGCAGGGTGAATCAGCCGTGGCCGTTGGCAACGGTGCGGGACAGTCGCAGCAGGGGGCCAATGCGGTCGCAATTGGGAGCCAGGCGGGTGCGTCGTACCAGGCAGCAGGCAGCATTGTGATCAACGCCAGTGGCAAGACACTGAACGCTGCGGCCAGCGGTCTGTATATGGACCCGATCAGAAAATCAGGCTATACGAATGGCGTTCTGTACTACGACGCGACCACAAGGGAGATTACGTATGGCGACCCTATAGTGCCAGAGGAGGGTGGTGGTCTCGATGTGGGCTCTGGGACCTGTGTGTCGGACTACCTGCGATGGAACGGCACTGCGTGGGTGTCGGGGGGCTCGAATGTGGCGCTGGCCTGTGGTGCGGGATCAACGGACCAGGGTGATGGCGCTGTCGCGATTGGACAGGACGCTGGCACCTCAAGCCAGGGGGTCGGTGCGGTGGCGCTGGGGCAGGACGCTGGCTCAACGAGCCAGGGGGTCGGTGCGGTCGCGATTGGGCAGGACGCTGGCTCAACGAGCCAGGGCGGCGCCTCGGTCGCGATTGGGCAGGACGCTGGCTCAACGAGCCAAGCCGAGAGCGGCGTTGCGATCGGGTCGGCGGCCGGCGAGACGAACCAAAAACCGTTCGCGGTGTCACTGGGGGCTGAGGCCGGGCAGACGACTCAGGGGCAGAACGGGGTTGCGCTCGGGTACCGGGCCGGCAACTCGGACCAGGGCATCAACGCCATCGCCATTGGCTATCGGGCTGGCGAGACCAAGCAGAGCACGGGCAGCATCTCGATCAATGCCAGTGGACTGGCACTGAATCCCACTAGTCAGGGGTGCTACATCAGTCCCGTTCGCAATATTAACATGAGCGACAATGTCCTGTACTACAACACTGTCTCCAAGGAGATTGTCTACGGCGACCCGATCAAAGAAACGGAGCCCGGGGACTTTGTGTCGGACTACCTGAGGTGGAATGGCACATTCTGGGTCAACGGGGGCGAAGAGGTCGCGCTTGGCGGCGGAGCCGGCTCGTACAGTCAGGGGGACGCGGCGGTGGCTGTTGGGAAGAACGCCGGCAAGACGGGGCAAGGAGCCAATGCGGTGGCAATCGGCAACTCGGCGGGCGATCTGAATCAGACGGCCGGCAGCATCGTCGTCAATGCCAGCGGGCTGCCGCTCAATGCGCCCGAGCAGGGGCTGTATGTGGACCCCATCCGCAATGCGGGTGCCACGCCGAACGCGCTGTACTACGATACTGAGCTGAAAGAGGTCGTGTACGGTGCAGCTAGTGTCAGCGAGGGTGTTACTGATGGCGGGTGTGTATCCGACTACCTGCGCTGGGATGGAACAGACTGGGTGCGTGGGGCGGACAAGGTGGCCATTGGCTGCGGCTCGGGGGCCATTGACCAGGGTGCGGACTCGGTGGCCATTGGCAAAAACGCTGGTGCATCAGGACAGGGTTCGTCCTCTATCGCAATGGGACTGGGTGCTGGTACGACAAACCAGGGTGCGGCCTCGGTGGCGATTGGCAACAACGCTGCTGCAACGGACCAGGCCGAGGACTCTGTGGCGATTGGTACATCGGCGGGACAAACGTCACAGGGTATTGGAGCCGTAGCTCTCGGTCCTTCAGCGGGATCAACCTCTCAAGGCAATGGAACTGTCGCCATTGGTGTTCGTTCAGGGGAGATAAATCAGGGCATGCAGGGGATCGCTATAGGACTAGATTGTGGCATAACAAATCAGGGTGAATGGTCGGTTGCCATCGGGCCCGAAGCCGCCGAAGAGAATCAAGGTACAAAATGTGTCGCAGTGGGACGTGAAGCAGGGCGATTTGGTCAGGGTGATGATGCGGTTGCATTGGGTTACCTAGCCGGTAAGACTTCCCAGGGATTACGCGGCGTAGCAATAGGGTCGTACGCCGGTGCGTTTAATCAGGGTGCTGGAAGCATTGCTATTGGTGCGAATGCGGGAATGGCAGATCAGCACGAAAAAACTATAATACTCTTCGCAAACGACGGAGACAAAGATGGAGAACGTCTTTATTCAACACAGTCTGATTCATTCTTCGCCTCCAGCATCCGCAACGCTGCGGGCCCACACGCGCTGACCTACAATCCCGCCACCAAGGAGATCTCGTACTCCACGTCCAACTCGGAGACCAAGGAAAACATTGTGCCAATCGACAACTCGTTTATTCTAGCGCTCGAGAACCTCCCCGTCTACCAGTTTAACTACAAGAACAAGAACAAGTACCTTGTGGACTCGGAGCAGCCAGCGGCGGTAAGCTTTGCAGATTGGGCGGCAGAGCACGACGAGATCGACGACGACGACAGGGGCGCGTACGAGGCGTACCTTGAGGAGCAGGCGTCAAGCTATGTCCCCCCGGTGCCTGTCGAAAAGGAGGAAACGCACTTTGGCATGATGGCCGACGAAGTGCAGGCGCTCGCCCCCGAGCTCGTGTACGATGACCTGGACGGCAAGGCGCACGACATTAAATGGAACAGCATCATTTCACTCCTAGTACTGCAGTGTCAGCTGCAGGAGAAGCGGATCGACGAGCTAGAGTATCGCTTGTCGTATGAAGATTAATTTTGTTTGACTTGTTTTTTTTTTTTTGTTATTGTAGACATGTCCAGAATGCCACGCAGGCACAATCGGTATCTAGCGCCAACAAGAAAACGAAACAGGAAAAAAAAAAAAGAC